GATGAGACTGAATGAAAAAAGCTCATCAAAGACTTTTATGAAGAGATGAGAATAACACAGTTCAAAAGAATTAAAGCTAACAAAAGCATAGAGGGAGGGGCCACCTTAATATAGAAGCTGTCTCTAGATTAGCTAACATAGTGCTCGTGTTGTAGTCCAGTGGATTAAACCACTGCCTGTGATCCTGGCATCTCATATAAGTGCCGGTTCAAGTTCCAGCTGCTCCACTTCCAATACAGCTCCCATCTAATATGCCTGGGAAAGCAGCAGAAGATGGCCCAAGTGTTTGGGCCCCTGCCACCCACATGGGAGACCTGGAAGACGCTCCTGGCTCCTGGCTTTGATCTTGCCCAGCCCTGGCCATTGCAGAGATTTGGGAAGTGAACCAGTGGATGGAAGATATTTTCTCTCTCTCTCTCTCTCTTTCTCTCTCTGGCCATTGCAGATATTTGGAAAGTGAACCAGTGGATGGAAGATATTCTCTCTCTCTCTCTCTCTCTCTCTCTCTCTCTCCTTCTCCCTCTCCTTCTCTCTCTGTAACTCTGACTTTCAAATAAAAAATAAAAAATAAAAAATAAAAAATTACTTAATGACATGAACCATTTGTGGCTGGAAGGAAACTGAGCCACCAGAAAGGGAAAAGACTTGCTATAAAGTGAGGAGAAACCATGGTCTCCTGGTTGCCAAGTCATGCTTTTATCCCATTCTGTATTCTCCCTTTTACTGTAGTAAATGTTACCTAAGCAAATTGTCCACATAACATCCCAGTCTTCTAACTTCTCATCTGTATAAAAGCATTCATTAAATGTCAAGAACACCTTTTCACCATTTAATTGCCTATAAAACAGATAGGTGTTCTGGCAACATTTTTTTTTTTTTAGTTCCACATTACATGTGTAACCAGAAAGTACTTTTATTGGAAGAAATAAGGGAGTTGTAAATTGGGCCATAACAATGGTAATTCTTGAACAGAAAAAATGGGGACTAAAAACATGCAACTTACTTAATGACCTTCCTGTTGTCCTTGGGAACTAGGAATCTGGAGTACAAACAGAGGAAATACTTATATAAAGAGGAAGAAAGGACTAACATTTACTGATTGTTTACTACGTGACAAGTGCTGTGCTAGGCCCCTTTGCAGACATTCTTCCATTTTGTTTTCACAGACTGATTGTAAAGATGACAAAACTGGGATTCCAAGAACTCAGTGAATTCCCAAGGATCGCAAGTCTTAGGGAGAGTCAGAGACAAGATTCCAGTCAGGCTTGTCTGTGCCCAGAGCTAACCATTAGGAAGCCAAATGAGAAAGTAGAAGAGACTTGGAAGGAGGAGCTGACACTGTCTATAGAGCAGCTCGAAGCAGGCAACTGGAAAGGAATGCAAGTTAACTGAAATAGGAGGTGAAAGGTAGATTCAACAAGGCAGGCAAGAAGGATCTGGCGCAAAGGGAGTGGGCAGATAGGTTCTGGGAAGACTCACAGGGACACTCCACATGAACGAGTACCAGGAAGCAGAAAGAAATACATATTGACCTAGTGCCAGAAGCGACCCCTGAAGACCAGAGGAGTTAGGAGCTCAAGGATCAGTCTGAAGATGCCAGCGAGCTGGCAATGGCGAGCCTCAGAGCAAGAGTCCCTTTGAGGAGTGGTCCTCACACCAGCAGCATCCACATCACCTGAAATTTTGTTAGAAACACAAATGCTTGAGCCTTGCCCATGGTTCGCTGCAGTAGAAACTCTGTGTCTTAACGAACCCTCCAACAAACCCTGGTGCACGCTTAAGTTTGAGACCCACAGCCTTGGAGAAACTGGAGAAAAGCAGCACGTGGATTTCAAGAACCAGAGTTCAGGGTCCGGTGCTCCAGAGCAAGCCCAGGAGAGTCACACATCACAGCAGTACACAACAATCATTTCTTTTTTTTTTTATTTTTTGACAGGCAGAGTGGACAGTGAGAGAGAGACAGGCAGAGAGAGAGGTCTTCCTTTGCCATTGGTTCACCCTCCAATGGCCGCCGCGGCCGGCGCACCTCGCAGATCCGATGGCAGGAGCCAGGTGCCTCTCCTGGTCTCCCATGGGGTGCAGGGCCCAAGCACTTGGGCCATCCTCCACTGCACTCCCGGGCCACAGCAGAGAGCTGGACTGGAAGGGGGGCAACCGGGACAGAATCCGGCGCCCCGACCGGGACTAGAACCCGGTGTGCCGGCGCCGCAAGGCGGAGGATTAGCCTAGTGAGCCGCGGCGCCGGCCTACAACAATCATTTCAAAGCATGATGGAGTCTGCTGGTCAGGAGTGGCACTGGGGAGTGAAGAGAAGATTGTGGCTTCAGAGTTGTGGTCTCAAGGGATAACCCCTGTACCTTTCACACATTCACCTTTTCTCAGAGGTCTTGCTTTTAAGGACTGCTAAGGGAAAGCTTTCAGAGGCTCCTAGTTAAAGATGTTAGTCCTGCTATGTCAAGGTATCACCTAGAGTCTTTTCTTCATTAGGAGACTGATACTGTCACAAAATGTCAGTGTGGGAAGATGGGAAGGAAACGAACATTTATTGGAGGTCTCCAGAGATGAGAGTTTTTGAGTTTACATTTCGGTTCCTATAACTTTCCTGTGAAGTAGGTAGGCTGTTCCCATTTAACAGACATGAAAAACTGAGGTTTAGAAAAATCAAGACACTTTCCCAAAATACAAAATCAGGAAATATCAGAGCTCATATTTCAGTCCAAGGTGTTTGATTTCAGTTTCCATGCTGTTAATAATGATTCCACATTCCAAATGTCTATGCTGCAAACTTAGAGTCTATAGGACACATTGTTAAGCTGCAGTTCATAGGTCAAATCTTGCCTGCTACTTATTTTTGTAAATATATTTTATTGGAAGATAGATAGACTTTGTGATCCACAATCACAGATCTGAGTAGTTATGACAGCAGAAACTATATCTTCTGCAAATAAAATGTCTACTAACTGGATCTTTACTGAACATGTTTGCCAATCTGGTCTATAGACCGGTTCAGGGATAGCTTAGAGATGTGTTTTAATTGACCCTCTGGACAAGGCATCAGAAATGTATCCAGGATTTTCAGGAAAGTTGGGCACTCTGTATCCTCTCAGTAAATTTGGTGAATGAGTTAATACCAGTCCGGAAACTGGCCTACCTGCCTCCTGTACTCATTTGTGTGTTGACTCAAGTGTGTCTATAATGACCTGTTTCTTGTTGTCTTTCGTGAGTCAGAAAAGAGACCTTATCCCTCCCCTCCCTGTCATAAATGCCTTAGAGTATGGACTTGGATCCCAACTTAATTGGTTTGGACCACACCTCCTCCATGTAGCTTCAAGGTCCATGTCTGTGCCAGGCAGATAACCCTATGTGCTGCCGTGGCCTGATCTAAATTCCCTTGACCACTGAGCGTTTCTGAGGAAGCTGAGCTTGGTGGCTCCTCCCTTTTTCCTACTGGTGCTTCCACTTGGCTCGTCCTGGGCTGCAGTTCGTGGGGCAGCTCCTAAGTGAGTACCTCTAGTAGTTTATGACCTAGACTTTGCCCTACCAGCTCAGTCTGTTGAAAACCCTCTTCCTTGGATTCTGTGCCAGATACTTGAAACTGAGGTGAGGAAAATGTCTCAAGCCTGCCTGGAGAACAGCATCTGCTGCTAGCCAAGATCTCCTCATCACGAAGTAAGAATAGCAGGTGGTGGAAGTGCTCTTATACCTGTCTGTCTCCTTCCTGTATCGGGGTCTGGTGGGCAGATGCAGTCCTTTGCCAAGAGGCAGGGGGTTCTGTACAGTATCTTCATGGATTACCACATTCCCCCCCTTACACTTTGCATCTTTGAAACCTCTTTCTCTTCCATTGTTAATATCTGGAATGTGCCTTCTACATAGACTCTCAGGTATATACATTTACAGAGCTAAGAATGTTCGAGACCCTCACTGTACAAGTGGAATGAGCCTCAGAAGAGAGAAGGGGCTGTAACAAAGCTACATAGCTGATTATCCCCAGAGCAAGTGGGTTGGGCACTTAGGTCGCTTGACTCAGGCCAGTGATTTTTTTCATCGCCCTCCCATTTTAGCATGACTGGGGAGGGCCTTTGGCTTTAAACAAATTCAGACTCCAGTTTTACCCTTAATTTTTGGGGACCCATTTTGCTTTCTTTTTTTTCAGAAAAATGCATTTTTTTTCTGTTTTCTTCCTCTTTAAGCTATTGACTTCAGTTCATGCAGGCTGTCTGCTAGCCGCATTTGTTTTCTCAGAAGGGAAATGTTGTGAATATAGTCCTCGGATTTCACTTTAGGATGTGTAAGACATGAGAGCAGCAGAGTTAGTGTATATTTAAATATCTTTCAGTGACTGGTGGATAGTGGGCACTCCGTAAATGAAAAGTCTCTCCCTTCACCTCAAAAAGGGCTCCCTGTTTCTCCCTGCAGCAGCACAGTGTGGCAGTGTCCTGGCTGAGTCTACAGCCCTAACACAATCCCCTTCTCTTACTTCCTAAGTGTGTGACCTTAAACAAGTTATCTCTATCCCCGGAGCCTGGGTTTTCTCAGCTCTATAGAGAATTAGACTACCCAAGTCACAGGACAATTCCTGAGACTTAAATGAAAGCATGCATGTAAAGTGGTTAACATAGGGCCTGGCATGTAGAGCGAAAAGCTTTTTGTCTTCTTGCCAGATTTGTTTTTATCTGTTACCAAAAAGCCATGACCTCAGAACAACAGGCAGGGTGGATCATTGCGCTTCAGAGCAAGAAGGGAAAGAGTGGGGATCGATTGAGGCTTTTTCCACATCTAGTAACCCTCGCAAAGGGCCTGTTTCTTAAATGGGGCTATTGGAATCCGCCTGTGAGTTTTGACTGGCTACACAGACAATGCATTTTCTTCGCTGTTTCAGCAAAAGCCAACTAGCAGCGCTGCAATAATAGAAGTGCAGCCCACCCCCTTGTAATCCCTCCTGAGATCCTAACCAGGATTTGGAAAACACCGGGATATAGTCAAAGAACCATCCCGGGTTTTGTACCAAACCGGCTGGAACAGGACATTCCAGTAGTTTAGCTCCTGCAAAAAAGGGCACCTAACACTGCCCCTCCCCCACCCTTCCACCCCAGTAACCCCGCCAAATTAGAGGCCTGGACTTAATTTACGAGAAAGGCCCTGTAACCCAGGATACTGACTGAGCAGGGCTGGCAGGCTCAGACTGGGGTCTGCAGTTCAGCATCAATGGGCCGCTGACATGAATATGGAAGGGTTTTCTCTAGCAAAGGTAAGATTTCTTTTCTCTCTTTCCAAACTTTACCTCACATGCCTTCTTTTGCAAATACTTTCATTCAGCTGGATGTAGGGAAATCATCAGCTACTGGGAGAGAAAGTCAGTGGCCTAAAAGTTGGAGGAAGTTTGGCTGGGTGTGAAAGTTAGAGCAGACAATAGACTCCTTTTGTTTCTCTCGCCAAAATGGCCAGGGCCACACTGGGTTGACTGTTTTTCAGTGACAATCCTGGACTCATAGAGAATAGGTAGTTCATTTTCCTGTCAAAACCGCCTGCTTATTTTCTGTTGCACAGGTTGGGGGTGGTTACTGAGGTGATAGATCTGAGGACTACATAAAAGGAAAGGTAAAACACTTTAAAACAACCATGCTTGGTTTCATATTTTGAAACCAGATTGGCACTGAGCAGTTCAATTAATGATAACTAAACTAAGCTAAGCATTGGAATTGTATTTTTGTTCTTGGCGTCTAAATAAGAGGAATCTTTTAGAAAATGTGGATTCAAATTCAGGTTTTGCCAGTAACTGGCTGCATGACTCTGAACAACCCCCTTCACCTCTCTGGTCTCAATTTGCCAGATTTCACAACAGGGTAGGGGTGCGGTGTGGTGGGAAAGATGGTTTCTAGAAGTTTTATGTATTTTTGAATCTAAAATGCATTCAATTTTTTCAGTAATGAGTATCACATGGCAAGCATGCCCTTTGCTAGGGTTTAAATATCCATTACCTTTTGTTTGAACCTCAAAACAATCATGTGAAATCAACTTCATTCTTTTTTTTTTTGGAATAAGAAAGCTTAGACTCAAATAGGTGAAAATGATTTATTTAAAGTCACATGTCTATGACTACAAAGACATGGGTTTTAGATCGAAGTCTTTAACCTGAAATTAGTATACTTTCTTATCATGGGGTGAAGAAAAAGCCACACAGAGTTAAGAGAGCAGAGGACCAAGAGATGAATCCTGTTTGAGGGTTCTGTAGGAAGGCTGTTAAGAGATGGGAGACAGGACTCCAAGGATAGCTCAGCATTTCCTTATTTAGTTGAGTGATTCTTGTCTAGGATGAGCCTGTTCAGCCCAGTCTAGTCTAACTCAGAAAGGGAGATGGTGGTGGTGGTGGTAGTGGTGGTGATGGTGGTGGTGAGAGACAAAAGACATTGTAACATTAAAAGAATAACTTGCAGATTCCAGGGAAAACAACAATGCAAATTGCCATGGATCATGTGGACCAGATCTAGGTAACACTGTAGTGATAGGCAGGTAAGGTAAAGGTGGGAGGAATGACTTGATACTGGCTTGATTCTTCCCAGGTTGGGGCAAGGTATCAGCGTATGTTAAGGAAATGGTGTTTAAGTATCTTTTCCCTCCTTTCAATGCTCGTCCTTCTTCCTTCCTATTTGCTTTTAAGGATTTCTTTTTAACTTTAACCCAGGACTCTTGCCCACTTTACTTTTCATTTCTTTCTCTTATGCTTTTCTTTTGCCTCATCAGACTAGCTTTTTTATGTGGACTGTGCTAAGGGAAAAGTATTCTTGTTGAAGTGAAAAGTTTACACAGGGCTTTCACATCTTTCATCTCATTTGAACTTCATAACAAACAGGTGAGGAGCCCAAGGCAGACTATCCACATTTAGGAGATAAGGAAACTGATGCTCAGGATGTTAAGGTCATAGGATCAAGTAATGAGGACTCCACACCCAGAATCTATTTTTTTCTGGTGCCTTAACTATTTCCATTTTACCATGAAATATCCAAATGATTCTAATGGAATTTTATGGATTCTTCACTGCTTCTGTTTTTATAGTATGTGAAAAAAAATTAAACATGATCATTGCTTCAAATTCAGCTTTTGGGAGGAAAGAAAGTTAATCAGTAGTGGTAAAGAAGGGAAACTAATATTTATCAGATGCCTATTAAGTCCCAGATGGTATATACTATTAACTCAATTAAATACAACTTAGAACAGTACTCAAACCTAAATTTGTCTTATTCAAAAGCCCTGGTTCTTTGTGTTACATTCTACTGCTTCCAAGGAGAGAAAATCTCAGCCTGGGGTGTGTGCAGTCCCATACCCATGCACATGTGCCTGTATGCTTCGTATGCATCACTGTATGTGGGAATTGATAAGTGTGTTCATGTTTGTGGTTAGCCAGAAAATGGCAAGTCTTTGTGATCCTGTCAAGTTTCATTTCTAAAGCTGTTAACTCATCCATAGTGATAATAGCCACCCATACGTTTTGATCACTTGTGCACTTAAGCTCTTATTTGTGTTTTACACACTTACAGATCTTAATTCATTTAATCCTCACCACAACTCTAAGTCCTAATTCCATTCTAAAGATGAATACACTGAGTAGAGAAATGAAGTACTTTCCTAAGCCACACAGCTAGGAAAAGTACAACTAGGATTCATTTAGGTAGTTTGATTCCAAAGCCTGTACTTCGGATGCAACATTTGGAAAGTGATCCCTGTTTTACAAGAGTTATTTTTTGAGAAGTAAATAAGATGGTTGATATGAAAAACACATTGTATAGTGGAAACTTCTAAGCAAATGTTAGGTGAATTTTTTCTCATGTTCTATTGTCTAAGGCCTTTGAACTATTAGTCACCATGGTTTAGTGCTTGTTCATTGTATGCTGAAGGTCTATATTAGTTTCTGCTGGGAACATTTCCAAGTTTACCATGTGCTTCTCCAATTGTAGAGCTCTTATCTGGGACAGGTTTCTCTTCAGATAAGTGAGTTCAAGTCACAACTGCCTTGCTGACACCTCTCTGTGAAGGGAGCTTGCAGGAGGTCCAGGTTGCATTCACATTTGCAGTGAAGCAAGGACCCACCCTCTCTGTTGAGGGTTCTGAGTCATGGTTATTTGTGTGACTATATATATTATATTTTATGTAGATCATGTGAATTTACCTGTGTTTCACCATTGAATGTGAGTATTGGCAGCATGCGAGAGCTGAAAGGACTTTTTGAATTCTGTTTATAAATAATTTTTTTTATTTTGTTTTTGCTCATTTCATTATCAATGTTCATGACTCTCCAATGGTTAGAATTATATAGTTCAGCTCTGTGTAGTCCCATATCTTATAGATGGGGAAACGGAGGGTCACTAAGGTAAAGAAACTTTCCCAGAGTCAATCTTTGAGCCAGTGGCAGAAGTTGAACTGGGGCCAACTGATGGGAAAATGAAGGTTTGTGCCACTTTATGTCACTCTACCAACAGTTGTTATGGCCCAACTACTGGCATCAATTGAATTTATAGTCCAATCTGTGAAATAAAGAAAGTTCAGGAAGCAACTCATGAAACAGAAAGATAACAATGATACAAAAATTGACTCGATCCAATTGAGTGTTATAGAGAGTATGTAGTTCTTCAGAGGAAAGTTATATGGAAGAGGGTATAGCTGACTTCTGGAGTAATTGGGACTTAAATTAGCTAGCACAGTAGAAATATAGAAAGTATGGTGTATTGGAGAGAGTAAGGATAAATTACCAAACTGTATCTAGGAAGGCGAAAGAAAAGGAAGAACACCAGCAATTATGATCTTCCATTTTTCCAAGCACAGGGGTCCTTTCATGTAAGTTTTCTGATTTCTTTCTCTAAGGCTGATATTATTATACCTAATTTACATATGAGGAAATAGATTCAGTTTCATTAACTAGTATTTAAAACTACACAATTGGTCAGTGGGAAGACCAGGTTTTAGAAAAAAAATCCCCCCAGCCGCGGCTCACTAGGCTAATCCTCTGCCTGCGGCGCCAGCACCCCGGGTTCTAGTCCCAGTTGGGGCGCTGGTTCTGTCCCAGTTGCTCCTCTTCCAGTCCAGCTCTCTGCTGTGGCCCGGGAAGGCAATGGAGGATGGCCCAGGTGCTTGGGCCCCTGCACCCGCATGGGAGACCAGGAGGAGGCACCTGACTCCTGGCTTTGGATCAGCACAGTACACCGGCTGTAGTGGCCATTTGTGGGGTGAACCAATGGAAGGAAGACCATTCTCCTCTCTGTCTCTCACTGTCTAACTCTGCCTGTCAAAAAAAAAAAAAAAAGGAAGAAAAGAAAATCCTGAAAGGTCTTTCCTTATATCAAAGGCCTCTGCAAAATCTGATATGGAGACTAAAGATTAATACTTGGGTAATTTTAGTGTATGCAGTGGACTAGAGTTTGTACAAAGTTCAAAAGTCCATTTCTTAATCAGGGTAATTATCTGGGGGATTTCTTAATCCTCACATGAGTTTGTATCTTTGAATTTCTGTTTTTGACTAATAGTCCCTATTTTATGTACATAGGTTGAAGATTTAGTGAATGATTTACATAAAACATCAAACATGATATTTAGCATGCAGTAATCTAACAATGAATGATAGCCATCATCATCATCATCATCATCATCATCATCATCATTATTACCATTATTGTGAATGCAGTCGATTGGGTTTATCTCTGCCTATGTGAGCCTGCATGTCTGCTGCTGAAGTAATCATAATCACATGTATTGTATGTTTCAGAGTGTATGACCTTTGTCCTAGATGTGGCTATAGGTATGAGCGCATACATGCTCTCTGTGCATACACATGTAGGTGTGTAGCATGTTTTTGTGAGAGGTAAAATGGAAATGGTGATTTAGATTATTGATGTCAAAGTCATATTTCATGGGCTCAAATCCCAACTGATAATTAACTAGTTGTCTTTGGGTAAATTCTTTTATACCTCTATTTTGCAGTTTCTACACTGTAACATGGGGATTACGTGGCATCTACTTTATAGGGTGCTTGTGAGGATTAAATGATTTAATCTGTGCAAAAACACTTAGAACATCAGCACCATAAACACAATAAATATTGATTTATTTTTTTTGACAGGCAGAGTGGACAGTGAGAGAGAGAGGCAGAGAGAAAGGCCTTCCTTTGCCGTTGGTTCACCCTCCAATGGCTTCTGCAACAGTGCATCGCACTGATCCGAAGCCAGGAGCCAGGTGCTTCTCCTGGTCTCCCATGGGGTGCAGGGCCCAAGCACTTGGGCCATCCTCCACTGCACTCCCGGGCCATAGCAGAGAGCTGGCCTGAAAGAGGGGCAACCGGGACAGAATCCGGTGCCCCGACTGGGCCTAGAACCTGGTGTGCCAGTGCCGCAGGCGGGAGGATTAGCCTAGTGAGCCACAGCACCAGCCCTCCTTCTTCTTATTCTGAAGGTGACTAATGCTCCGTGTGACTTTGTGCTTCTATATGTGGAGACAAATGTGTGCATCTCTGCTTCTAAGTAAGATCGTGTGTGCTTAGTATACAAATGCATGTAGATTGTGCTTATGTGATGGTGTCTGTGTTCCTGGGTTTGACCGCAGCTGTGTATGGAATGACTGAACACCTCATATCAGTACCAAGATGTTTGACCTATTGGCTTATGCACTTAAATGAGAGGCTAGAGGCTTGGGTATGATTCTGACTCAGCATTAGACCCACGAAATGAGATTGTGCATAGCCTTGAGAACATGTGCAGAACTTTTTTTTTCTGAGTCCAAAATGTTTCTTTTATATATTCTTATTTTTTTGCATTATTTTACACATTCCTTTGAAATATAGTATACACACAAAAATGCACAAATAGTATTTATATGTCAATGTATTTGCACAAATTGAACACATCTAGGTACCTAGTATGTAAGTCAAGAGACAGAATGTTACCTAGAAACCTTCCTCCTCTTCATTTCCCAGTTGCTGATCCCTACTTCAAGAGCAAATACTGTCGCTCCCCCTCTTCGTGGAGGAACGACACTAAGCCCTGCCTAGGCTTCATATCCGAGTCACGGCACCATTATGTCGCTCCCCCTCTTCGTGGAGGAGCAACACAGGACCCTGCGCTGTTCTTTCGTCTGCTCGGCCCTCCCCGGGTTTGCTGCTGGTTCTTCCCGGGTTGGCTACTATCCCTTCCACCTCCGTGGAAGGGCAGTTCCCCCTGGCCACATTCCCCACTTCCGCAGGGGAGCGGCACACCGCCGGCCGGCTTTCTCGGGGGCTGCACGGGTTCCCTTAGATGTTCCCCATAGATGTTCCTCGTGCATGCCGTCTCTCTCCTCCTTTATAGTCCTCCTCCGCCAATCCCAACTCGGCTGCCCATACGCCGAGTACGCTGCTCTCCAATCAGGAGCAAGTCCTACAGTTAATTGGTTGAACTGGAGGCAGCTGTGCGGAAGCTGTTTACTTCTCTCCCAGCGCCATATTGTGGGAGAGCAGATGCATAGAATAAGTCTTAATTCGAGTAACTTAGTCTAGTCCGGATTGCTCCCCACAAATACTATCCTCACTTCTAACAGCATAGATTACTATTTTTTTATTTTTATTTTTTTGACAGGCAGAGTGGACAGTGAGAGAGAGAGACAGAGAGAAAGGTCTTCCTTTGCCGTTGGTTCACCCTCCAATGGCCGCCGCGGCCGGCGCGCTGCGGCCGGCGCACCGCGCTGATCCGATGGCAGGAGCCAGGTACTTATCCTGGTCTCCCATGGGGTGCAGGGCCCAAGCACTTGGGCCATCCTCCACTGCACTCCCTGGCCACAGCAGAGAGCTGGCCTGGAAGAGGGGCAACCGGGACAGAATCTGGCGCCCCGACCAGGACTAGAACCCGGTGTGCTGGCGCTGCAAGGCGGAGGATTAGCTTAGTGAGCTGTGGTGCTGGCCGACTGATATTATATTTTACATAAATGAAATCACACAGTGATTTTGTGTCCATTTTCTTTCTGCAACATTATACCTGTGAAGGTCACTCATATTGTTATGTGCAGTTTAGAGCTGTTCATTATTATTGCCATATAGAATTCTATTGTATCAATAAAATGCAATTTACTCATTCATTCTATTGTTCATGAATGTTTTGGCTATTTCCATTCGGGTCTACAAATATTCTATTAAACATCTTTTGATGTATTCTTTTTTTATTTTTAAACACAATTTATAGATGATGGGAAGTGGTAACAATGTGTTTTTCCCTTTTGTCTATGGGAAAACCGAGGCAGAGGGAGAAATAGTGACTTTATTTAGCAATGAGTGAATCAGTGGCTCAATCAGGTTTCAGATGCCTTTTTCCTGATTTGAGGGACATAATACGTTTTTCCGTCTATACCATTGAACCAACTGCATTCAGAGATCAACGTTATAGATAACTTTGCTTTCCAAAGTCTGATGTGTAGAAATCATTGGACATCTGTTGAACTAAAAGGAATCAGGTAAGGCAGAAAAACTGAGCTAACCTGGTTTTGGCTTCTTAGTTACTGAATCTGGCTCTTTTCTCTTCAGCTTTCTAGATACACGAAAAGCCTATTTGTTCTCTTCCTTCCACACCAGCAGCTTTCATTTGCTCGTATCCCAGAGTGATGTGGGCCATGGAGCCAGGCCAGCTCCTCTGGGCTCTGCTGTTCGTGCAATCCTTATGGCCCCAACAGACTGATGGGGCCACTCGAGTCTACTACTTGGGCATCCGGGACTTACAGTGGAACTATGCCCCTGAAGGAAGGAACGTCATCACAAATGAGTCTCTGGAGAGTGACACGTATGTTTCATCTGCTGTGATATTACAGCTGGAGTTGGGAGTGGGGGGCAACCTTAAGGTCAAGAAGTCTCTTCTTTCCCTGGAAATGGTGGCAGCTAACTCGTGACCTCTCTGAGCCTCCCAGGGGCCAGGTTTCCTGGGAAGAGAGCAAGATGACCCAGAAGCCAGCAGCCCATCTGGAGTCTGCTTTTCCACCTGAGGTGCCTCAGCATGTTTACAGTGCTAAAGACAATTCATATTTCCTCGATTCTAAGATAATATCCACAATACTGAACTGAATTAGTAATGGTTTTTTGGCTTTAAAAATAAAAGATTAAATATATACAGGTTTTTTAAAATGTGTGCAGTAGAACTATGTTCCTACAGGTCAGTGGAACTGTACTGATTTCAGCTATTTGAAAATACAAAAAAAAATAATATAAGCCTTAGAATCCAGGAACTAACCATAATAGCTATCAAAATTATGTAACATTTTGTGGCAGACACCATACTATAAATTTATAAACTTTTTCTTAATTTTCACAAAAACGCTGGGAGGAGAGTATGAGTATCCTCGTTTTATAGATGAGAAAACAGGATCAGGGAGGTCTACTGACTTGCTGAAGTCCAGCAGCTATAAATGAAAGAAATAGGATTTGTAGCTGCAAATCTGTGGGCAAAGCTAATATGCTTATCACTGTTTTGCCTCCCATTGATCCCATAGAATTAATCTTTTTCAATCCTCTAAATAGACAATTGCTCCACAGATATAAACGAATGTGTTAAAGAATCTCTTGCAACTGTGATTCACTTTATGTCTCCAAAACCCTCAGCATTTTCCAAAATTGACTGCAACATTTCTGAATTTTCTAGGAAGGATTATAATATGAAAAACAGATGTCTTTTTTAAAGTTCTGCTTATCAACTTTTATTCATTTGAAAGGCAAGGTGACACACAAACACACACACACACACACACACAGAGGTGGGGGAGGGAGGGAGAGAAAGAGAGATTTTTTCATCTGTGGATTTACTCCCCAAACGCTTATAGCTTCCAAGCTAGGCCAGTTTGAAAGAAGGAGCCAAGGACTCAGTCCAGGTCTCCCATGTGGGTGGCAGGGACCCAGGTACTTGAGCTGTTACCTACTGCCTCCCAATGTGTGCATCAGCAGGGAGCTGCATCAGAAGCAGAGATGGGACTTGAACCTAAGTACTCTTATATGGAATGGGGGCACTGTGCCAAGATACCCACCCAATTCTATATTTTTTAACACAAACTATCCATCGAATTTTGGAGTCTCAAAGTCCTTGTGTTAAAACTGCCCTCGAGGGAATAAATTCATTATCCCTCATCCTTAACACTTTGAAGTAATAGCCATCATTTATTGAGCTTTTACAATTTGTCAGGCACTGTCCTAAAATCTTTAGTTAGCAACACAAACTTTTGACTTAGAGACTGTGATTAACTCCATTTTAGAGATAGTGAAATTATGCACAGATAAATTAAGTAACTTGCTTAACGTCCCACAAATTTGGAAGTGGCAGAGATGGCGCTTAATCTACTTGGCCTGTCTCCAGAGCTGTGGTCATAAACTCTATACTATAATGCCTGCGATATATAGCAGAATGATGCTAAATCAGTCTACAGTTAGTTTTCTATTATTGTATATTAGTTTGAATAATGTGAATTTACCTTTTTTTGTTGGTTAGAAATGGTTAAAAATAAGCAATTCCATGCACTTCAACTTACTACTTGTTATTATCTGCCAGATTACCTAAACCTCCATGTTCCGATCAGTACAATCCAATTTCCTTTTGTTTGGTTCTAAACAAAAATGGACAACTTTTTGTCACCTACCTCTGGAAAAGATACTTCTGGAGGCTGAAGATGGTAGCAAGGGTGTGACTGTCTCTTTTCTTCTTTCCCAGGGTAGCTTCCAGCTTCCTTAAATCTGACAAGAATCGGATAGGGAGAAGCTACAAAAAGACTGTCTATAAGGAATACAAGGATGATTCATACATGGATGAAGTGGCTCAGCCTGCCTGGTTGGGTTTCCTGGGGCCAGTGTTGCAGGCTGAGGTGGGGGATGTCATTCTGATCCATCTGAAGAATTTTGCCACACGTCCCTATACCATCCATCCCCATGGCGTTTTCTATGAGAAGGACTCAGAAGGTAAATCGATCTTTCTCCCATTCCCAACAAACATAATTTTCTAAGAGATTTATTTATTTATTTATTTTTATTTATTTAGAGAGATCCCGCATTTGCTGGTTCACTCCCCAAATGACTGAAACATGCAGGGCTGAGTCAGGCTGAATGCAGAAGCCAGAAATTCCATCTGGGTCTCCTACGTGGGTGGCAGGGGCCCAAGTACTTGGACCATCATCTGCTGCTTCCTAGGTGCAGTGGCAGGAAGCTTAATCTGAAACAGGGAAGCTGGAACTCAAATTGACACTCTGATATGGGATGCAGGTGTCCCAAGAGGCAGCTTAACCTCCATGCCTGCTCCCTTTTTCCATCATGATCTAAGGTGACACCTACTCTCCTGAGGGTAAAAAAATGGCTGCTATTCATGGCACTGTCTGACTTGGGCGAGTCACTGTCCCTCTTTGGGCCTCAGATTACCTACCAGGAATGTGAAGATGCATCCTTAAATTTTGTTATAAGGAGGTTCTTGAATGACACTTCCATAGAATAGTTGAACATGCTCTGAAAAGAGACAAGGATGCTTTGAATGTCGGTGGGTGTTGTTCTAGTGCCACAGTCTTCTGAAAATTCCATTTTCTTTTTTTAAGCATGAGTTCAGTTTCTTCATTTGTATCTCACACTACCTCAGTGCTGATGACCTATAATAGTGAAAACAGTGAGTGAGGATATTAGAGAGGAAAGTCAGAAGATACTGGTTTGGCCACTAACTCCTTATATGACCTTGGCAAGTCACTATTCCTCAAGTTTCTATTCTATACAATGGGTGGGGGGTGGTATGGACCAAATAACCACTAGGCTGCCATTAGGTTAAAATTCTGTAATTGCCTTTTTTTCCCCAGAAGTGAGTCCTAAAAAGGAGAAATTTCTGTTTTGTCCTGGGCTTCCAAGGTACCAGCTTTGCCATAGGGATCCACTAGACCAGACTAAGAAGTATTTTCCTTTGTCACAGCTTTTCCCCTTCATCAACTATTCCCATGAGGTCTGGGGTTCTTTGATTAAGTGTTACCTGAATCTGTGCCTTCTTTAGGTTGTAAGGAACACTCTGTTAGATCTCAGAACTCCACATTCCACAAGATTGGACATAGGTAATCCCAAATCAGGTTCTATCTCGGCTTCTATATCTTCCACAGTGTCACTTACCCTGCTACTGGTAATGTGCCATTTCATTTTCCAGGCTCCCTCTACCCAGATGGCTCCTCTGGGCATCTGAAAGCTGATGACTCAGTGCCTCCGGGAGGCAGCCATGTGTACAATTGGACTATTCCAGAAGGCCATGCACCCACTGATGCTGACCCAGCATGCCTCACTTGGATTTACCATTCTCATGTAGACGCTCCACGAGATATTGCCACTGGTCTCATTGGACCCCTCATAACCTGTAAAAGAGGTACAAGGCCTGAGGAGGAGTTATGAGATACAGTTTGGGACATCTGGAGGAAGTAGTGATACAGTTGAACCACTTAGATATTGGGCAGCAGCTTGAGGAGTGTCAATTCAGCACCCTTGTTTATTAGCAGGAATAAACCCTGACAAACTTCTTTTCCATGATTTTTTTCAATTTTGTTACGTTTTTATCTTTTTTAAAGACTTATTTTATTTATTTGAAAAGGCAGAGTTACACAGAGAGAGAGAGAGAGAGGGAGAGACAGAGAGATCTTCCATACACTGGTTCACTCCCCAAATGTGTGCAATAGCTGGGGCTGAGCCAGGCAGAAGTCAGGAGCCAGGAGCCAGGAGCTTCATCTGGGGTGCCACCTATTACTCTTGATCCTTGCGAGGATTAAAAAGGACCAAGTATATGAAAACACTCGTCAAATATGAAGCTCAGTGTAGGTACTTTGGCTTCCCACATGGGTGCTAGGTTCCAAGGACATGGGCCATCCTCCACTGCTTTCCTGGGCACACCAGCAGGGAGCCAGACCAGAAGTACAGCAGCAAGGACTCAGCTGTCACCCATATGGGATGCTGGCATCACAGGTGGTGGCTTAACTTGCAACGCCACAATGCTTGTCCCATGATTACTTCTTTTTCTAAAAAACAAACAAACAAACAAAACAACAACAACAACAAAAAAACAGAACCAAACCCACTTTTCTATCTTCCCAATTTTTTTTTCTTTTTTAACTTTTTAAAAAGATTTTATTTATTTATTTGAGAGGTAGAGCTATGGACAGAGAGAGGGAGATACAGAGAGAAAGGTCCTCTCTCCGCTGGTTCACTCCCCAAATGGCAGCAATGGCTGGAGCTGTGCTGATCTGAAGCCAGGAGTCAGGTGCTTGCTCCTGGTCTCCCATGCGGGTGCAGGGGCCCAAGGACCTGGACCATCTTCCATTGCTTTCCCAGGCCATAGCAGAGAGCTGGATTGGAAGTGGAGCAGCTGGGTCTTGAACTGGTGCCCAAATGGGATGCTGGCGCTGCAGGCAGAGGATTAACCCACTGCGCCACGGTGCCGGCCCATCTTTTTTTACTTTTAAAACCCAAAATAGTCATGATGGGAGTCATATCACACTGCAGTAAGGTATATGGCAAAAGCTCAGGGTTCAGGTATGAGTAAGATTGAGAGTGTGAGTTCAAGATTTGTGGAGGTTTAAGGACTTGCTTGGGAATAGAATGTGCTTAAGGAATAGTTAGGTCTGACAATCAGGGTGTTAAGGAATATAGTCAGGTTCGGGCCCTGATCAAAGACATAGGCAAGGATAGTGGAACAGAATTACTCTAGATCTTATGTATCCCACCTTCAAGTCCTAGGTCCAGATCTCATGTATCCCACCCTCATGTCCTGGGTTCAACTGAATTAGTGGTTTTACCTGGGGACTTTGCAAATGGAAATTAGCCCCACAAAGCTATATTTGCTTTTCTGTTGCTCTCCTACTCTTTAGGCCCTCTCTATTCCTATTCTTTTCTTGTGAATTCCCCTTGCAGTTTGCTGTCACCAAGGAAAGGAGATTCTGATGTGCGTCTTTCTTCCTTTTCCTAGGAACCCTGGATGGGAACTCCCCTCCACAGCGGCAGGATGTGGACCAAAATTTCTTTCTGCTCTTCAGTGTGGTGGATGAAAACCTTAGCTGGCATCTTGATGAGAACATTGCCACTTACTGCTCAAGCCCTGCCTCAGTGGATAAAGAAGATGAAGGCTTTCAGGAGAGCAACAGGATGCACGGTGAGCTGGGAGGAGGGGGTCACGTTTCAAGAGGTCCAGGGTCTCCGCTGGGCTTCGTATTTGGTGGGTGTTTTCATATACTTGGTCCCTTTTAATCCTCACAAGGACCAGGAGTAATAGGTGGCTTTTCCCTATTTTACCTGTGAGGAACTGATGCTCCTAAAATGCGCAACAGAAATTGCACAGCTGAAATTCTAGCTGTGATATCTTTGACTGTGTAGGCTTTGCTCTTGTTATAAGTTATCATGCTTCATAATGGGGAATAAATAGCTCGGGTTGTTGACTCCAAAATCATATTCCACATGTTTAGTTCCTTTGGTGCAGGTTGTATAATGAGTCAACATTACTTTGTTTGAAAAGGATTGAAGCTGGACAAATTATCCATTTTATGGAGAAAAATGGTAGCTTTCAAGCTGCTTCATATGTATCTCTCATTCTACTGTAGTCTGATATCTATAAGGACATTTATTTATAATTAAATTAAAACAAGCTAGAAGTGAGTATTTTATATAGCAATTAAGGTACTGGTTAAGATACCCTGTCCAGTGTCTGAGTATTGGGATTCAATTCCCAAATCCAGCTCCTGATTCCAGGTCCTAATGCTGCTGGCTCAAGCAGCTGGGTTCCTGACATGTGAATTCCTGGTTACCAACTTTGGACCAGCCCAGCCCTATCAGTTGTGGGCATTTGGGCAGTGAACCAGTGGGTAGGAGTGTTCTTTCTCCCTCTCAGGTAAGTGAATAAAAGTAAGCAAACAAACAAAACAGAACACAAACTAAAGGCCCCAAATCCCTGAAGTATGAATGGAGAATTGATTTTAGGAATAGAAAGAAGTTTATTTTAAAAATTTATTTATATATTCATTTATTTGAGAGGGAAGGAGGGAAGGAATGGAGGGAGGAAGAACGAGAGAGAGACTGAGAGAGAGTGAGAGAATATTCCATCTGTTGGTTCACAAATACCTACAACAGTGAGGGCTAGGCCAGGCCAAAGCCAGATTCAGGAACTCCATCCAAGTCTCCCATGTAGGTGGTAGGGGCCCAAGTTCTTGGGTCATTGTTCACTGCTTCCTAGGTGCATTATCAAGTAACTGGATTGTAAGCAGAGTAGCTGGAACTTGAACCAGGTACTCTGATATGGGATACCAGTATCCCATGTGACTGTTTAACCTGCTGTGCCATAGCCCAGCTTATTTTGTTTTTGTTTAATGAAGGAAATGATTTGCTTACTTTTGGCAACAGGGGTGGGCTGAAAGTCAGACATTCCCAAGAGTAGGTAAAAACTCAGAAGAAAGTTGTAAGTGATGGATTGGGCTGTTCAAATTCCTCTTGAGTTTTATGCCAATTGATTATAATGGTCATGTTAGTTGTCAGTTGATTTGACACTTGTCCAGTGCAAATTTCAGAAGGAAACTAGCTGGAAAGTAATAAATAGCTTGCAAAATAACTCTGTTACCTAGACAACTTACACAGATTGCTGATTTGGAATATTTGTGCTATCACTTAATAGCTTGGTGGTCTTCAAAGAGAAATAGCTTCACCTCTCTGTGCCTTGGTTCTCTCTTTCTTTTGAGTGAGACAAATAATATCTACCTATTTCACAGAGATGTTTGTAAGATTTAAATGAGATAATGCACAGAGTCAGGACAGTGTGCTCTTTAAAACCTCATATAAATGCTACCTACCTTTAGTGTCAGATGGTAAGACTTTTCTCACTGTGCTGTCATTTCCTAACTTTGATTATTTTCTTTTGCAGCAATCAATGGCTTTGTCTTTGGGAACTTACCAGATCTGAGTATGTGTGCTCAGAAGCGTGTGGCCTGGCACTTGTTTGGCATGGGCAATGAAGTAGATGTCCACACAGTTTTCTTCCATGGACAGATGCTGACCACCCGTGGACACCGTACTGATGTGGCTCACATCTTTCCAGCCACCTTTGTGACTGCTGAGATGGTGCCCCAGGTACCTGGCACATGGTTAGTTAGCTGTCAAGTGAACAGTCATTTACAAGGTAAGATTCAACATTTCTTATTTTTGGGGTGTAGGAGGCAGATGTCACTAATGGTCAACAGGAAGCTAGTCTTCTGTCATATGATAGATCTGTTAGGTGAGGCATTTGGTATAAAGGATGAAACATTAGATTAGAAGTCAAAAGACCCTGATTCTTTCCTGTCTCTGCCATTAACTTTCTGGGTATCCTTAGGCACTTCTCTCTGGGTTTAATCTTCCCCGTTTTGAACATGAGGTAGCCTAGGGAAAGATAGCTGTCTTTTAAGCTGCCATATTTTTAAAGGTTTCTTTCATTTATTTGAAAGGCAGAGTGACAGAGACAGGGGGACACACATATTTGAGAAAGAGGTCTTCCATCTGCTGGTTCACTCTCCAAATGTCTGCAACAGCTGGGACTGGTTCAGACAGAGGCTAACAGCTTCTGGTTCTCCCATATTGGTGTTAGGGGCCCAAGTACTTGGGCCATCTTCTACTGCTGTCCCAGGCACATTAGCAGGAAGTCAGATCAGAAGCAGAGCAGGTACAACTCAAACCAGCATTCTAATATGGGTTGCTGGCATCACAAGTGGTGACATAACACACTATGTCACAAAGCCAGCCATATGTTGCTCAAAATTCTAAGGAATTAAGTTATAAAGTTATTTTAAGTTTATTGAAAACAGAGTGAAGGGGATATGAGTTAAAGGAGAATACGGTTTCTGCAGAGAATCATGGAGTATTGTTGGTAAGTAGTGACACTCTAATTGTGAGCTGACAGGAATAGGGAAGGAAAGTTTTTTTTTTTTTCCTTAGAGGGAGAATGGTTTAAAGTCATGGCCCAGTGCATCGAGGAACATCACAAGGGAGGAAGAACACATGAGGCAACAGAGAGCATTAGATAAGTAATTCAGAGGATTGTTTTTATAGCCTCTGCTCTGTGAAAAGCTTACCACATGAGTATGGGCAAGTCCCTTCCCATTTCCAGGCCTCATTTGCTTGGTCTATAAAATGAAAGAGTCGATCTAAATAGGATCACAAATTCCCTTCAGCTCTAACTTTCTAGAATGATTTGAAATATTATAAATTAGAAGCTTGTCAGGAAGGTATTAGGTGAGTATGTGAAAGTGGATTTGAATATGTGCAGAGATATTGATGAGCATGATAATGGGTCTTGCATAGTAGTTCTGATCCAGTAAGAGAGAGTGACATGTTCTCTCCCACCTAGCATCTGTCCTCAACCCTAAAGGTGCCTATGGTAATAGAGTATGCATACGCATTGGGGTTAGGTATGTAGTTTGTAGTAAAACAAGCACGTACGTTAGAGTTTCATAAACCTGGATTCAAATTCTGTTTTCACCATGTGCTTAGCTACTTTTGGTGAGTCATGTCACCTACTTGAATTTAAGTTTCCTCATCTGAGGATGGAAATAATGATGCCTAACTCATAAAGATGTAATGAAGTTTCTGAAAGATATTATGATTTTGAATCTTAAAAACTAAGGGGATGATGTGACCAAGATAGTGGAAATAAGGAAAAAATGAACATAGGAACTTAAGCCTTTTTTAATTAAAGAATTATCTATTGTTTTGAGAGTCAGAGTTACGGAAAGAGAGAGGGAGATGCACACACAGAGAGACAGAGGAGGGAAGAGTTTTTCTTCTACCCAATGGTTCACTCCCCAAATGGCTGCAATGACCAGCACTGGGTCAAGCCGAAGCCAAGAGACAGGAGCTTCATCCAGGTCTCCTACATGGTTTCAGGAACCCAAGCACTTGGGCCATTTTCTACTGCTTTCCCCAAGCTATTAGCAGGGAGCTGGACAGGAAGTGAGGCAGCCGGGACATGAACTGGTATGCTGGTATCGCAGGTGGCAGCTTTACACGCTATGCCACAATGTCAGTGCTGGAGTTTGTCTTAATGCTACCACATACTATATTTACAGTCTTGGGCATGTTACTTAGCTTTTCTGACTCCTTGATTTCTCCATCTGCTGTGAATATTGGTAGAGATAACATAAGTAAAGAGTATAGGAAATAACACATATTGTACAAAAACAAACATCTGTTTCTCTTCATTCTTCATACCTCATATTTCTAATTTATACATTTTGAATCTCCTTGAGATGTTGTGAGACTTAAGTGGGATAATGTAGCCAAATGACTTCTACTATAAGTTGCTGAGCATATAAGACAGAGCCATCCATTACTATTATGCCTAAATGTAATATTTTCCACATTTGGAAATGTTACTTAGAATATACATTTCCCTGAAAGTCTCAAGTCTGAATCTTCATTTCCATGTTTAAAAGGTGTTGCATTTGGGGGGAGCTTACTGGTTTATAAATAACTAAACCCTCCTAAACCCTCTTTTATATTTGATGCTTTCACCAATTCTGTGAGGTAGATTTTTCTTTTCTTTAAAAAATTTATTTATTTGAGAAGTAGAGTTAGAGAGAGAAAGAGAGAGATCTTCCATCTGTTGGTTCACTCCCCAAATGGCCACAATGGCCACAGGTGGGCCAAACAAAAGCTGGGAGCCAGGAGCTTCTTCTAAGCCTCCCACATGGGTGCAGGGGCCCAAGCACTTTGGCCATCCTCTACTGCTTTCCCAGGCACATTAGCAGGGTGTTGGATCAGAAGTGGAGCAACCATGACTTAAACCAGCACCCATATGGGATGCTGTTACTGCAGACGATGGCTTTACCCGCTACGCCACAGCGCTGTCCTTGAGGTAGAATTTCATATCTTCCCTATTTACAAAAGAAGGAAGCTCAGATTGAAGAAGTGATTTGCTTAAAAACCTAGAGAATAGCAGATAAAGCCTAGGCTTGAACTCAAGATTCCCAACTTTAGTCTCTGTGATGTTGCTATAATATGAGCCTTTTGCAGAGGCAGGAATGAGGATCTGGTAAATTAACCAGTGGTTGCATGAGCAGGTGGAGATACATAAATTTCCACCTGGGCTTGGCTCTCCCAGTAGGCTAAGAAGTTAAAGAAAGTGGCCCACTTTGGGGCAGGGATAAAGAGACTAGTGAAGGGTGGGAAGGGAAACACTAGGAGAAGGAAGAAGGTAATTAATCTGAGTAGAAGTCCTATTGGGTAGCCATGATATTCTTCCTGCAGATGGCATGCAGGCACTCTACAAGATCAAGTCTTGCTCTACGACCCCTCCTGTGGATCTGCTCACAGGCAAAGTTCGACAGTACTTCATCGAAGCCCGTGAGATTCGATGGAACTATGGACCCATGGGGCATGATGGGAGTACTGGGAAGAGTTTGAGAGAGCCAGGCAGGTAAGAGGCAAGCAGTTAAGAGGGCTCCTTCTCCCTACTCCTCGGCCCAGCTACAAATAGCTATTATCTCTACAAAAATCTTTCCTTTCACTTTGGTGCTACAATCATTGTCTGGCTGGGTTTACATTATGTAACTATTAGCTGAGCTCTTGTTGTCTCCTGGCGAGCTTGCTTTGGGGGAAGCTACAGGTAGAGGAAACTTTGTGTAGGGTTAGGTCATTTTCACAGCAAAATGTCCAGAGTGTGAGGTTGGCTTTTCTAAAATTCGTGGACATGTTCAGAAAGAAAAACCTAGGTGGCTTTAGTTCCTGCATAGTTTAAAATGATTTTTCTTTATTTTGCTCATTATTTAGTTCTTTGATCCTTCCTTTCTTTTCCAGTCTGAAGGAGGCATTTGAGCAGAGGTATAACAGGAACTCTGAGAAATGTAGGAGAAAGAGAAGCAAGTGGCCTTGTAGCCATTCTATGCCCATTCTTTAGTAAGAATTTCTCAAAATTGTCCTCTCTCATCCATGACCAAGATGTAAGCAAAGTAGAGCAGGAGTTCAATGTCCTACTTGGTTGCTAGGTCTTAGGTTAATAGTAACTGTTCATGCAATCAGTGGTGCCAGGTATTTCACAGAAGAGGATCTTGGCAGGTGGCTTGGAGAGGCATTGGGGTTCTGTGGCATCTATTATGTTTATTCTTCTAGCGAGAAACAAAAGAGACAATCTTCAGAGAACTCCGGCAAGTCAGTGCATGAGTCTCAGCATGGCTTCTATAATCTCCAACCAGGCTGGACAATGTAGTGGGCTTTCACTGTGGTATGAAAAGCTATTCTTGATGAAGGAGAGGAAAAAGGATTATGAGTATTTGAGAATGATTAAGGACAGATGTAGGTTATGTAACTCTGTAGAGACATAGTTCCATTGTCTGGAACTTTAAAGCAAGAATATTTCAGCTTACTACAAAGAATAACTCCAGTAATTAGAGCTTTCTAATGGTAAGAGGGATTGAGTCCTCTGAAAATGAGTACCCTGTCTTTGGAAAGGCTCGAGCAGAAGCTGTATATCAATTATTAGTGTTGTCAACTGGTGGGAGTTAGCTTGGATGATCTCTGAGGTCCTTCCTAACTATAAAGATCCATAACGTGATGAAATTTGGGATGTGAGTCTATTTAATGCCGAATGATATTGCATGACATTTCCATCCTTATGTGCCAGTGGTTCAGATAAGTTCTTTCAGAAGAGCTCCAGCCGAATTGGAGGAACTTACTGGAAAGTTCGGTATGAAGCCTTCCAAGATGAGACATTCCAGGAGAAGGTGCAGACGGAAGAAGACGAGCACCTTGGAATCCTGGGTGAGAAATCTTTAACTTATGACATTCATTGATTAGAGCCATGTAAGTGAGGAGGACTTAGAAACTGGAGACTGAGGATGGCTGAGGGGCACATGGTAGACCAACATTTCCCAAAGTGAGTTCCAAGCAATGAGTCTTTTATGGAAAAAAAGATTATACATCTGAGTGCATTTTAAAAAGACTATAAAGCATAGTCAAATAGTATTCTGTGCTGCAGGACTTTTAAAAGCCTTGAGCACACTTTTGGTCATCATAATTCTCCAAGATGAGGATAGACCATGTAGCATTTCTCATACCTGTTTTTTTGGGGGGCAGTGAATATAACATCTTTCAGTACCACTATTGGAAGGATCATATTTTTAGAATTACTTCTCTAGGGATATTTCCAAAAGGCTATATAAAGTGGTCAGACTATCTAGATTCTTGACATTCTGGAGCCAGGAGAAGATAGCTATGACATACAGACATGCTTGCTATAGTGAGGAATGCAGAACCAGGATTAGAGTTGGATCTGGGAGTAGGTCTGTAGAAGGTACAAAACACAATGTTAAAAGAGTATACAGCAGAAATATATGTGGTTTACTCACTTGCTAGAATTAGATAATAAAATAGAACAGGGGAGATAAAACTTTGAAAATGAAAGTAATACAATGGCCCGTATTCTGGGAATGGGTGTATGCCAGCTGGTTCTAGATCTGAAAATAGACAATAGGATCTACATCATCTGGTTAGGTAGACACAAGGAGAAATCCATATTAGGAAAGAGCAAATGTGGTGAATATGGAGGAGTTATCATTGGTTATGATTCAGCATAGGTCCCCAGTCATTGAGCAGAAGTGTAGTTTTAGGTGTGGAAATTGAGTAAGAAACTAAGTTAGAAACTCTGCTTTAAGCCTAGAGCCAGCATAGGTGGCTAAGGTATTGTCTTGGTATCTTGGTTGCCCTTAAAGGTGGACCAAGCTAGATTAGAAGGAGTGGGTAATAATGTACATAAAAGTCCAGGGTAGTGGTTAATCTGTCTATCCCAGCACCTGGATAAAGGATATAATAATTCTTTTTGCTATTCAGAATTTATGATTGAGGCAAGTTGATATCCTACCAAGATATACAAATACAGGAGCTGGGACAATAAAGTTAGAGGAAATGGGCTTGGACCTGACAGTAAGTGAGAAAAGGTCTTGGCTTTAGACAATGGCTCTGCAACTAATGAGTTATTTGAATTTGGGTAGGTCGGTTCCACTTCCCTGAGCTGAAGTTTCCTCATTTATAAAGTGGAGATAATAACCCAGGCCCTGTGTGTTTTAGAATGATGTTTGAAAATCAAAATGAGATAAGCACTTTATTACAACTGTAGATTGCAATATACTTAGAAGGGGTTATTATTATCAATTGCAAAGAAAAGAGGTCTCTTTTAAACTTATACTTTCCCTTTCTTTTGCTCCCTCTCCTTCTGCTTGCTTTTTCCCTAACCATCCCTATGTTCATTCTCCTTTTCTCTCTTTCTCATTTTCCAGGGCCAGTGATCCGGGCTGAGGTGGGTGACACTATCCAGGTGGTCTTCTACAACCGTGCCTCCAAACCATTCAGCATACAGCCCCATGGAGTCTTTTATGAGAAAGACTACGAGGGCACTGTTTACAATGATGGTGAGCCAGCAGGGTTTCTAACAAATGTGGGCTGCAAGTGGCAGCTCTAGAGGAGAGATAAAAGAGGGGCTGGGGAAAGGGAAGAAGGAAGAATTCATTACCAGGTAAGGATGTTGTAGAATGAATGAATGATGTGATGGTGAAATAATTAGAGAAAACTTTAGGGGAGGGCGCTGTGGTGTAGTGAGTAAAGCCACCACCTGCAGTGCCAGCATCCCATATGGGTACTGATTCAAGTCCCAGCTGCTCCACTTCCGATCCAGCTCTCTGCTTTGGCCTGGGAAAGCAGTAGAAGATGTCCCAGTCCTTAAGCCCCTGCACCCATGGGGGAGACTGGAAGAAGCTCCTGGCTCCTGGCTTCAGATTGACATAGCTCCAGCCCTTGTGGCCAATTGGGGAGTGAATCAGCAGATGGAAGACCTCTCTCTCTGTCACTCCTTCTCTCTCTGTGTAACTCTAACTATCAAATAAATAAATAAATCTTAAAAAATAATTAAAAATGTTAAAAGGTAATCAAAATGTATGACAATTATCTATAAATTGTGTTTTTTATAATTTCTATTTTTTATAATCAGAATACATTTAAATATATCCCAATTCTTTTAAATATTTATTTAGGGGCCAGCTCTGTGACACAGGGGGTTAATGCCCTGTCCTGAAGTGCCGGCATCCCACATGGGTGCCAGTTCGAGACCCGGCTGCTCCACTTCTGATCCAGCTCTCTGCTATGGCCTGGGAAAGCAGTAGAAGATGGTCCAAGTTCTTGGGCACCTGCACCTGCATGAGAGACCCAGAGGAAGCTCCTGGCTCCTGGCTTTGGGTCAGCTCAGCTCTGGCCACATATGGCCCTTTGGGGAGTGAACCAGTGGATGGAAGACTTCTCTCTCTCTCTGCTTCTGCCTTTCTGTAACTCTGCCTTTCCAACAAATACATATTTCTTTAAAGATTATTATTTATTGGAAAGTCAGAGTTACACAGAGAGAGGAAAGGCAGAGAGAGAGAGAGAGAGAGAGAGAGGTCTTCCATCCAATGGTTCACTCCCTAATTGGCCGCAATGGCCGGAGCTGCGTCGATCCAAAGCCAGGAGCCAGGAGCTTCCTCTGGGTCTCTCATGCAGGTGCAGGGGCCCAAGAACTTGGACCATCTTCTACTGCTTTCCCAGGCCATAGCAGAGAGCTGGATCAGAAGTGGAGCAGCCGGGTCTCGAACTGGCACCCATGTGGGATGCCGGCACTTCAGGACAGGGCATTAACCCCCTGTGTCACAGAGCTGGCCCCTAAATAAATATTTAAAAGAATTGGGATATATTTAAATGTATTCTGATTATAAAAAATAGAAATTATAAAAAACACAATTTATAGATAATTGTCATACATTTTGATTACCTTTTAACATTTTTAATTATTTTTTAAGATTTATTTATTTATTTGATAGTTAGAGTTACACAGAGAGAGAAGGAGTGACAGAGAGAGAGGTCTTCCATCTGCTGATTCACTCCCCAATTGGCCACAAGGGCTGGAGCTATGTCAATCTGAAGCCAGGAGCCAGGGGTTTCTTCTGGGTCTCCCATTCGGGTGCAAGGGCCCAAGGACTTGGGCCATCTTCTACTGCTTTCCCAGGCCATAGCAGAGAGCTGGATTGGAAGTGGAGCAGCTGAGACTTGAACCTGTGCTCATATGGGACACCGGCACTGTAGGCGGTGTTTTTACCTGCTATGCCACAGTGCCAGCCCCACCTTTTAACATTTTTATGCTTATAAGATGTATGAATTTGTAGATATGAACTTGTTTATACAGTTATGCATCCTTTTTTTGTCTTTTTTTTAAATTTATTTTTAATTTCATTTATTTGACAGGTAGAGTTATAGACAGTGAGAGAGAGAGAGACAGAGAGAAAGGTCTTCCTTCTGTTGGTTCACTCCCCAAATGGCTGCCACGGCTGGCGCTGCGCCAATCCAAAGCCAGGAGCCAGGTACTTCCTCCTGGTTTTCCATGTGGGTGGAGGGGCCCAAGCACTTGGGCCATCCTCCACTGCCCTCCTGGGCCACAGCAAAGAGCTGGACTGGAAGAGGAGCAACCAGGACTAGAACCCAGCCCCATATGGGATGCCGGCGCCGCAGGCGGAGGATTAACTAAGTGAGCCACGGTGTTAGCCCCTCGTCTGTTTTCTTGTGCATTGTTATAAACATTTTTGTCACATGTAGTTGACATAATTTATTTACCTTATCCTCTGTTGTTTAGGCATGTTGGTTTTTCTTTTCTTTTTTTTTAAGAAGATTCATTTTTTTGAAAAGCAGAGTTACAGAGACAGAGAGAGAGAGAGAGAGTCCATCCGCTGGTTCACTCTCCAAATGCCTGCAGTAGCTTGGACTGGACAAGGCCAAAGCCAGGCATGTGGAACTCCATCTGGGTCTTCCACATGGATGACAGTGGCTCATCACTTCTGCTGCTTTCCCAGGCACATTAGCAGGGAGCTGCATTGGAAACGGAGCAGCTGGGACTCGAATTGTTGCTCTGATATGGGATGCCATCATTTCAGGTCATGGCTTATAGACCACAATGCCAGAAGCATGTTGGTTTCTAAAGCATTTTTTGAATACTACAAATCAGGTTGCAGTGAATGAAAGCATGCATTCTAGCTTGCAGTTTAAATTTGTATCTTATGAGAAAGTGGTATTATTGAGTAATTGAGTTCTTGTTTTCTCCAAGACTGTTAACATATATTAAGCCAAATTATTAAATAAATTCTGAGTGTAAAGGCAAAGTTGCAGACAAATCTAGAAGGCAACTTCTTCAAGAAGTCAATGCCATTGGGTGATATTAGAGACGTGACAACTAAGTGCAAACTGAGAAATCTTGATTCATCTGATTATAACATACTTCATGAAACATTTTGGAGATAATTGGGAAATTTGTCATATAGACTAGATATCAGATGATATTAGGAAATTTTCTGAGGTGTGCTAATGGTATGGTAGCAAGATAGGAGATGCTTGCTGATCTATTCAGGTGTAAAATGTCATGATGCATGAGTTACTTGCAAAATGATCATCAAAAGCAAGCAATGAATAACTTTGTGTGCATGCATGTATGTGTAGATGTGCATAAAAATAGTTGTAGCTAAAGATGGAAAAATGTTAACATTTGACCCTAAATGGTAGAGCAATGATCACTGCACTCTTCAAAGTTTTCAGTATGTTTGAAAACCTGAAAAGTTAGGAAGAAATAGTAAATAAGGAATGATAAGTTAAACTCATCCACAATGATTTTCCCCTGTTGTAAGCTATATTACAAATTTCCTTGTATATGGTTCTTTGCATATTTTTATGATTCTTTCATCAGAATATATTTTTAATACATGAAGTTTCTGTTTCAGAGGGTATACACATTGACAGTTTTGGTACCTACATGCAAATTGCTCTTTGGAGAAATTTGTAGTCCCATCAATTTCAAGTTCTGCCAATATTACTAGAGAGGGTCTCTTTTTTACAACCTCACCGGTACCAGGGTAATATTTTAAATTTTTATCGAAATGACAATTTTGTAGGCAAACACCCTCAACCAACCTCGTTATTTTGATTTAAATTTGTTTACTCTAGATTGAACATGCTTTTCAGTGTTTATTACGTGTCTTCCTTATTAGTGAAATTTTAAAAGGCTATAGACACATCTTTGAAATCTAGGGAAGTATAAAGTGCCTCAGTTCATAAAGTAGTGGCCAGAATAGATGGCAAACTCTAGTATCCTGAGTCTTAGACCAATATTCAGTACTCCACATTGCTGTTGCCAATGATGCTACAAACTGCCTCTGCAGTTTACCATCTCTATCCCACTGTTTGGCGCTGATTATATTAACTCTAGCCAATGTGAGTAATAACGGCTGTGTTTTCGCTGCAGGCTCATCCCACCCTGGTTTGGTGGCCAAACCCTTTGAGAAAGTGACATATCGCTGGACAGTTCCCCCTCATGCTGGTCCCACGGCTCAGGATCCTGCCTGTCTTACCTGGATGTACTTCTCCGCAGCGAATCCCATTAGAGATACAAATTCTGGCCTGGTGGGCCCCCTGCTGGTTTGCAAGGCTGGTGCCTTGGGTACAGATGGCAAGCAGGTATTGTTGGGTGCCTGGCTAGGAAAGCTGCTGAGAGGATGAGGAAACTGCATTCCTAAACAGGATTAAGTGTAAGATTGTGTTCTAGAGGTGAAGAAATAGAAAAAAATAGCCAAATTACTGCATTATAAATTATTAGGTGGTGACTTTGTGCTCTCTTGCATTTCGTTTTTTACTTACTAATACACATTTTCTTTAGTTCAAAGCCTCCCATCACCATCTCTCCCTCAGTGCCTCGCTTCCTTCCCCACCCCCATAGCCGCTAACACTTGCTCCTAATCTCTAAGTCCCCTTTAGTATTTGCTTATCTCCCACTGTTTCTAGCGGTGTAGCATTGGGCAAGTTATTTGATTTATCTTTGTCTCAGTTTCTTCATCTGTAAAGAGGGCTCACATGGAAGGAAGTAACTTGGGTTTCTGTGAGGATCAGTGGAAATAGTCAATATAAAATGCTTAGCATATTGTCTGGCAAGTAGTAAGCATTCAGTAAATACTAGCAGTAACAACAGTAACAGCAGCAGCAACAAGAGCAATTCTGTTCTTTTCTCATCCTGTGCTTTTCCCCTGCCCCCTTCCATATATTCCTCCCTTCCAGTCCTCTCCTTTGATTGTAACCGCCTTCTCCTACAACTTGAGGTTACCTGGGGGAAAATTGCTTAGCAACAACTGCAGCTTTGAACAGGAAGTATGGGCATGGCTCTGAGTCTACCAAAGGAGGTGAGGAACATCAGAGATCCTTCCGTTTGTAACTACACAACTCCTGACACATTTGTTCTTTATCCCTGTTCTTTCTTCTACTGGATATGAAGAAAGGGATAGATAAAGAAGTATTTCTCCTCTTCACTGTGTTTGATGAGAACAAGAGCTGGTACAGCGACACCAATCAAGCAGCTGCTATGTTGGATTCCCGACTGGTCTCCGAAGATGTCAAGGGCTTTGAAGACTCCAATCAGATGCATGGTATGGAGAGTATTTTTACCCTGGGCTACAACTGAGATATCTAAAGTAAAACCTAAACCTAACTATGATCATGACCAATCTATGAAATCACAGCTTTGTCCAAGAGACAAGTTATATCGAGGGATTCAAGCAAAAATGACAGATCTGTCTTAGCACCTTCTTTGCGCTGTCATGTGTTACACTGTATGGGGGACACTGGGAGGAAGTACTGTGAGATGTGGATTGTGCACAAAGGATCTACCACAGAGTATGAACTCTAAGCTGATACCCTTTCCAGTCTAACCTTCCACTACTTGTGCTCCTGCACCCCATATTCCAGTTAAGTGCGCTTATTTTTCTATGACCATACCTTTTACTTTGCTGATTTTTTTTTACTTCAGTGTCCTACACTTGAAATGCCCTCATTATGTCTTTGCCCTGAGCCTGTGGGAAGTCTGCCCATTCTCTATGTCCCTACTGAAATGCTACCTCCTCCATATAACCATTTCTTATCACCCAAGCCCTGCGTGATGACACCCTCTTATTAACTATCATCACTTTTCAGTCAGACCATTTTAATAGCATGTTCCATACACTCTTTTGTTAGAGTGTAGTTTCCCTAAAGGTGAGTTTTGTATGTTTCTTATCTCTGTATCCTCTACCCTGTGCAACACATAGTAAATGTTAATTGGATTAGTGAGCTACCAAATGAATGGGTAGATGGGTCTGTGGGCGGTAAGTGAATGAATGGGAAGACTTGGTCCCAGTTTGCAAAGAGCTCCTAGCACTTTTTGATGAGATGAGAATAATAATACCCATGAAACAATTATAGAACAATCCAAGACAGACTATAATTAAGTGTCAAATTATGTGGAACAGCTTTTAAATTCAGAGGAGGAGAACATTAGTGGAGAACAATCAAAATAAAGGATTCTTGGAAAAGGGAGTTCTTGAGCTAGAGCCTGAAGACTAAATAGGTTTGCAATCAAGACATTACAGGCAGAGGAAGTAGAATCAGAGGGTTAGCAATGCTCTCATCTGCATCCAAGAGGATTATCAAATAGGGTGACTCATTAAAGCTGATTTCAGTGGATGTGAAAGCGTTAGGCCTGGTCAGCTTCAAGCAGGTTATCTTGCACGAGAAGCCTTCAAAACTTTGTGGAAAAATGAAACTAAAAGTATGAGTTTATTTTTTATATAGATTTATTTATTTATTTGAATGACAGAGTTACAGAGAGAAAAGGAGAGAGAGAGAGGAAAGGAGGAAGGAGAAGGGAGGGAGGGAGGAAGAGAGGGAGGGGAGAGAGAAAGAGAGAGAGAGAGAGAGAATGAGAATCTTTCCTTGGTTGGTTCAGTCACCAAATGACTGCAATGGCCCAGGCTGGGCCAGACAAAAGCCAGGAGCCTGGAACTCCATCTGGGTCTCCTACGTGGGTTGAAGGGGCCCAAGCATTCAGACCATCTGCTGCCTTCCCAGGTGCATTAGTGGGGAGCTGGACCGGAAATGCAGCTGCCCGGAAAACAACCGACATTCATACTTATAGGGATGCCAGTGGGGCAGGTTGGTGACTTAACTTGCTGTGCCACAACACAAGCCCCAAAATTTGAGTTAATTTTAGTGTAAATTTTGTTTAAAATCCATGTAAATTTTTAATAACATAATTTTTTCATGTTTTATGAACAATTTTCCATCAAAATATACTCATATTTTAATTCCATCTAATACAATTTTTTGAAGTACAATTGTATTGGGGAAGTGTGGAAGGTGAGGGAGGAGGGAGGATACAAATAAGTATGCTTTCTTTTGACTCCATCTTTTAGTTGTTATCACCAGTTAGTTCCATCAACTGGAAAAAGTAATACAATCTCTTAAGTCAAGTTCATTCCAGTTTCAGTTTAATGAGTACCTGATTGGTATCAGGCAACATGGTGGGTGCCTAAACAGTCACATAGATAGATAGATAAATCTTCCTGGTAGGTCAATCTAATGAGGGAGACATATTTGTAGGAAATTTATTGGACTCTGTAGATAGGTGATATCGCAGAGTTTTGCAGGGCAAGTTCCACGGATATCAGAGATAGTGATGACCCTGCTTCACTCAAGAGGTGATATTAAAGGTGGGACATGAGAGATGAGTAGTAGGTTTCCATAGAGAGAGATTTGAAGGAAAGATTATCTCAGGTAGAGGGAATGGCATACAATGTTTTCAACTGATGTTTTCTAAGCATCTAAGATGTTTAAAGCCTTGGGAATGCAGAAAAAATTAGAGATCACAGGGTAATGGCACGTGTGTGGGTGGGGGTTGGAAGGTATAGGAGGGCAGACTACATGTAGGTGTACCATGGAAGAGGCTATTGTAGGAAGTAAGGCAAGAGAGGTTAAGGTCCATAATCAGTAACAGTAAGAGGAACAGAAGGAGACATTCTGAGAAGTGAGCATGGAACTTTGGGGAAACCTAACACTTTATAGAGAGGTAGAGAATGATAACAAGATAGAGAAGGAACAATCAGAGATGTTATAAGAGAATTGGTAAATGCAGTGCCTCAGAAATAAAGGGAGGAGAGTTCCAAGATAGTGGGAATGGGAGAGGTTGGTATTGTGTGTGTGTAGGTGTGTAGGAATTGTGATAGTGGAGAGTAGTTCAATATTGCCAGAATATGGAAGATGGTGGAGGAAGGTCAGTAGATGAGGCTAAAAAGGCTAACTGGATTCTCATTCTAAAGCCACATCTCCATGGGTTGAACTGAACTGGCTTAGAGAAAAAGGCAGAGGAGTTCAGAATGACTCCTGACTTTCAAGGTGTGGGCAATCCCAGTATAGAGCTGATGCCATACTGCTGGAAGGTGCTGAAATAGTCTGGTCTCATCTCACCATTTTGTTTTGTGTTTTTGTTTTCCAGCTATTAATGGGTTTCTGTTCTCTAACCTGCCCAGGCTGGACATGTGCAAGGGTGACACTGTGGCCTGGCACCTGCTCGGCCTGGGCACAGAGACTGACGTGCATGGGGTCGTGTTCCAGGGCAACACTGTGCAGCTTCAGGGAATGAGAAAGGGTGCAGCCATGCTCTTTCCTCACACCTTTGTTATGGCCATCATGCAGCCCGACAACACAGGTAAGTGCATTAGCAGCTGGCCTTGGGCTCAGAGGCTTTGTTGTGTATGGGGTTGAGGGTAGAGATAGGAGGAGGGAGGACTGGTGAAGTAAAAAGAAGAGGCATGTAAAGAGGGCTAGGAAATTTCCAAAGATACTTTTGTCTTTTCCCTCTTCAATATATTCTTCATGTTCTGGTTGTTTGAAAAGAGAAGAATTAGAACATCGGGATGAAGGTCTTATATGGCAGAGGATGGACTTGATCACATAGCCTGTCGACCACATAGGTATTTTATAGATACAATCCTCACACTAGGAGGCAAGTGGAAGAGATGTACCTATAATAACACTTCACCTCTGATATTCTGTGAAAATTTTTGCAAACTCTCTCACTTATATTGTGTGAGAGAGAAATACTCTAACAGTATCAGCCTAGAAATCAGAACACAGGAGGTCCAGTGCAGGTCTTTTCATTAATTTTCTGTGTAACTCTATCTTAATGACTATCCTTCTTCATGGCTAGATTATTCTCACACTCATTATTTTTATTTCATGCAGAAATTTGACAACAGCATTTCTTTATATTTCATATTTTTTAATATTTCATAATGTATTTTTATTTACAGTCCCTAGGGTGTCTTCTTTTTCCAGCCAGTAGGTGGCAATAATGTTTGTAAGAAAAATCTGTCAGTTCCACCTAGTTCTTATTAAGCTTAATATTAGTTGTATAAATTCCATTAATATTTAGAGAACCAGTTCTTAAACTAAGCAAGTCTCTTTTGTTTATTTAATAACCTCAACCTGGTCCTGAATTTAACAAACACATGACACAAAGCTGGTGTCCCCAGATTTCTTGGATCCCTGTTTCTGTCCATTTACCTGGCATATTTTCTTGATTAGGGAGATTTATTGTAATCAAATTAGAATCATCAGTTAATGGAGTAAAATTTAGTGAGAGAAGCAAGTGCTTGCAGCAATGTGGAGGTTTGAAAGTTCTTAATAAAAAAAAAACAAAACTACTCTTTAGTCAGCCCCAAAGCCAAATCTCAGATTTAATCTCCTTCCTGAAAAGCCATCCAGTTTTCCTAGACAGATCTATATGCCTTCTTAAAGCTCACTCTAGATGAATTTTCTTGGTACCATACTGAGGCCCAATGAGGGCGGCTGTAGATGACTTAAAAACATTCTTATGGGTAGGCTGAAAGAAGAGGGGGAGAATGGATTTACAAGAATAAAAGTTTGAAAGGTTACTCTTGGTCTTTTTTATGTTTTCATTTCTAGATCTTTAAAATTCTTTGTCAGATTGGGTATTTATCTTGGTGGTTAAGATGCCTGTTAATACACCCATATCCCACATCAGAGTGTCTGGATTTTATACTCAACCCTGTTGCCTGATTCTAGCTTCATATCGACACAGACCATGGGAGGCAGTAGTGAGGGTTCAAATAAATGGGTTCCTACTACCCATACGGGAGACCCGGATTGAGCTTCTGGTTCTGTTTAGGCTTATCCCAGTCTGCCATTGCAGGCATTTGTGGAGTGAACTAGTGGATGGGAGCATTCTATCTGTCTTTTTGTCTCTGTCACACTATCTATCTCTGCCTGCCTCTCAAATTAATAAGTAGCTAAGTAATGATTTTGAAGAAACCTCTCCTCTTTTTAAAGAAATTTCAAGTTATGGAACATTGGAACTGGTGAGAGTCCCTTTGAGCTAAAATCAATTAATTTAGTTTACTAATGAGTGAAAGAGATACAGATCTGAAATGGGGAAATGACTTGCTCAGGTTAAAAATGTTAGCTTTATATATTTTTTCCTGCTTCTTCCTCTTGCCCCTTCTCCATCAAATCCTATTGATTCTTACTCATAGATGCCTTCTTGAATGTGAACTCCATTCTGCTCCTGGGAACACGTTCTCTAAATAAAATTACAGAGATTGTTGTGACTAGCTCTCCAAAGGCAGGGCTAAGGTACCTGAGTTCAGTGGCAGAGTCAGGACCAGAATCTAGCTTGTAGAGTGTTGGGTAGTGATGGGCAATGGTAAATAAACATGCATGCTTGAGAAGCTTTGCAGGAGGTTTAAAATCATCACTATGGAGATTCAACACCTGTGTGTTGGACACTTTCAATTACGTTTACACAAATAGAAAAAACACATGCTCAGAAAAAGTTCATAAAAATGTTGAGAGTTTCAGAATCAGCCCTTAAGGCATGCGGATCCGGCTGAAAAGCTCATGAGAGTATTTCAGGCATGGAAAGCCAAGACACTCTGGGGAAAAAAAAAAAAAAAAAAAGAAAGAAAGATCTCTGCGAGTGAGATCCCAGTGGAAAGAATGGGTCATCA